TCTCTCTCTCTCTCTCTCTCTCTCTCTCTCTCTCTCTATCTCGTTCATTGTATTTCACTTGGAATTGTTTAATTTGTTGAATTAGAGCAAAAACATAAAAGCACCAATAAGCACTTCTTGTAGCTACGGAATTTATGGCGAGCATATCTCTGCCGCACACACATGCATATGAAATTTGAAAGAATTTTTGCCTATCTCGTCAAAAAATGGTTGTAAATGCATCCAATCCATGCTACACGAATTACAAACTCACTCACATACACACAGACGCACCACCTCTTATTCCCGTTCGTTGTGGCTTTTGTATTTTATTTGCGATTCAAGCAAGCGTTGTCATAACATTGAACTCATTGTGTATTTGACGAATAGGTTTTAACAAGAAAACCCATCATTATTCATGATTGAATGGAGTGAAAGACAGCTCACAGTCATCCCATGACACATTGTAGTCAAACAAATTATCATAAATTGTTTTACTAATGCGAGTGAAAAATCATCTTTTTTCACATCATATCGATTGTGCATGTAATTTATGTCGATTTACAGAAACTGGTGATTTTTCATTTCGCATACAATCTCACATTTATATGCCTGCTACATTGTTGTATTATATTGTGAGCAATCCCGAGCGATGGAATGGGTTATGTTGATTTTTTTTTGTGTCAATTTGTTATTTTACGCCTGTGAATCGCTACACGACGGAAGCTATTACTTTGTATGTCATTAATTCAGGGGCAACACAGAAATGGAATAAGAAGACGGAGATGAAGGGAAGAATAATAATAATTTTGTTTTGTGATTTTGTAAACGCCACACGATTTTTCACCATCTGCATCAGAATAATTGGCGGAAATGTTTCGGTTGTATTGAAGCCATCGGAAATATTCAAAATTAATATGAAAAATACCTATGGATACATCGTTCGTAATATTTGTACACATTGAAATGATTTTCTCTCTTTCTCTCTCTCTCTCTCTTTCTCTCTCTCTCTTTCCCGTCCCGGTTTATTATTAATTTTCATTTCCTCGTGCCTTGCATAGTTTCCGAGAGAATTAGGATAATTGTCTTGGAACACCAACAGGAAAACGAATACATTCAATGTGAAACGAACGACACTTCATTGCGTTCGTATACTCACACACGTTATGCGTGTAACACACGTGTGAAATATACACATACACACACGCACACCAATGCAACCTATTAATCAGAGCTTTGGGAGCGACAAGTTTCCCGGTCCGAAATTCGTTCATATTTTGTGCCGATCGAAATGAGAGAAGAGATCTGTGCATGTGTATGAATGAGAGAGGGATAGAGAGGAAATGGTTTGTGTTCTCTTACTGTTTAAATAAAGTCAATTGTAGCTTGAAACCGAGACACTTATTCGATCGTTATATTGCTTGGGGGAACAATGGTGCCGGTCCCTCATATTAGTATTTATATGCGTTCCCTTGTTTTAATAATAAGAAAACAATCAATTTTTCGGATACCATATGCGACAGGCGTATAACATATCATTTTATTATGTGCGCATTTTTTTTTCTTCATTTCTCTTCGTTCTCGATTTCACGCGAATGTCGCTCGCTTTTTTTTCTCTTCTGCGTCATCTGTCTGTCTTTTCGCAATCTATCTGCCTGGTATCTGCCT